TGTTACCTGTCATCATTGTTTTGACTTCACTTTGTATTGCGACTCCGCGCTCAGTGTAGAATACTATATTGCGATTTAGACGGCACTTATGTTAGCGAATGAGTTGTATTGGAGTGGAATGCATTCGGCGTCGAGGCGATTTCTCTTGATGCTAGAGTGTTGTAACATGGCCTTACATGTTACAACACTCTAGGATTGCGTCTCGGCCGCAATCCACACCCACGCATGGGCTGTTGGGGCGTCATTCATCGCGGCAGTGAGTCGTCCGGGCGGGTTTTCAGAACAGTCGTCCTTGACGCGCTTTGACATCGTGATGAAGCATTGTGGCACTCGCTGCCGTCGCCAGGAGAATTCCATCATCTCGAGTTCGTTGCATGGATTACGCGAATGGTTTTACATTGATAGCCTCTACCGACACACTGAGGGGTATAATTATGGCTCCTCCGACTACTGACGACGGGTGATCAGACCACGCGGAGAGCAATTTTGTCGTCGCCCGGCTCCACAGACGCATTAACCTCACTATGCTATCCCTTTGCGGCCATCGCCAAGCGGCTCCGACTGGCCATGGAGTCACTGCCAGTATGAAGAATTAAGAATCTACAGTCGAAATCTTTCCAGATACTGTACCTGAGTTTCGTAAAACCAAATATGGTAGCATATATCCAGAAGCATACAAACTTCAAGACAACATGATTTGCATATTTAGGCTTTACGAAACAAGTTTGTTTCGTAATCCATATATGTTGAGGGTTTCGTGTTTCGTAAATCCATACTAATTCAATGTTATTCGAGTACCACTTTGTCGAGTTTTTATCAAGTCTGTCACGAGGTGGCAATGTTGGCCCAAGCACTTATGGAGTCGGAGAAGCGAGGAGTAGTGTTGTGCGAGAGCCCAACAGGACCGGAGTGCACAACAGGAAAGAACGAAGAGTAAAATTAGAGACGAGTGCAGGGACTGTTCCAACCACTCATGCACTAGCTTTGAGGTGGCGGCCTCTGATTGGCTGGGATACCAAGTGAAGGCTGTTGATTGGCCACAAAACCAGGTGACCTCTGATTGGCCAAATAGGTTCTCCCTCTTAAGTGCGGGCGAAAAACACCTGGCAATCGTCCCCTTGTCAAAGTCGACTGTAGCCACATCTTATCATGTGCGAGCCAAGATCAACTGGCAAGACGAAGTAGGTCAGCCGCGCACTCGGTCAAGTGGATTATTGACATTTTGCCGAGGTCATCAGCACGGTTATGTCTACTGCGACGTCAAGCTGGAAAACGTGGTTTTCGGGTAAGAAGTTGGATACAAGCTCGCAGGGCTTTGACAATAAGATGCGGTTTTGTACTCCCAAGAACGAACAGCTGCACCGAGCAATACTGTCCTCAAGAAATGGCGCACTATATTCTTGGCCACGCTCAGCAACTTCGAGCGTCGACCAAGTTTGTTGTGTGGTGCACAGCTGTGTTGGTGTGCTCGAACTGTGTCTACATGATGGCGCTGGCTGGCAAAATTTTGAAGATGTGGCAGTCGTCCAGGTCCTGCCCAAGCTTGCTTCCCATGGAATTTCCTTCGAGGCCAGTGTAACTGCGACAGGATTGAACGCCGATCGGCAAGCTCGATTGCTCAGGTGTTTACACGTGGACCCTGCCCAACGCAGCAGTATGCAAGACCTCGTCTACCTTCTGCCCGGCACATCTATCAAGCGCAGTGGCATGACCAAAGTGTGTGAGCGATTGAGTGCGCTCAGCATCAACGCCCGTGAAGTTGGAATCGATGTCAAGGCAGGGAATGCTGTGGCCTCCCAGGCACTCAAGCTCAACTCGGATCATGATGAAAAATAATGAAGAGCGATTTGATGCGAGCTATTTACGACGCCACGGAAGGGAACATTCATCATTTTGCCATACAGCATCGAGACCCAGCGCCAGGAACAAACCAAACCAAGCAGGAAGAAGCGATCATGAAGACCGTGTGGGTTTTTCGGGCGGATGAAGCAAATGGGTTCCATCGTCGTGGCAGCTGTTCAAGAGAAGAATCCTGTCGCGGCAGCGAAAGCTGCAGTCGATGGACTCACACAAGGCGAGACTGTGTATTTTTATTTGCTCGACGATGTACTGGCGCGCCGGTAGAGGGTGGCGTGTACCCAATTGAAATCACCAGAAAAACGAAGCTATACATGGAATTCATGGCGACAAGCATGCCACTGTTTCAGAGCTCGTTCAAGTTGCTCAAGATGGAGAACTCGGCTGCGAACTTCTTCAATTTCGTGGGCATTCCATCGTTGAGTAACGACACAATGTCCAACATTGCAGGCTTGTTGGACGTAGAGAGCTTTCCCTCGTGAGGGAAAGCTCTGCCACTGAATTTGAAAAATTGTCCACAACGAGCTGGAAAACAAAAGCGAGGTCAAGTCCACTCGAGGAGCAGCACTGCGGGAATTGGAAGCTTTCTTTGCCGTCAAAGATCCAATCCGTACGTTTTCCGGGCTCCCTCAGGGGTACTTATCCTCCGGCGAAGCAGTCTGGACTAGGGAATCCTCTAGTTTGCTCGAGGCAAGGTCCAAGGCAAGTCAAAAGTGAATCGAATAGTCAGCTCAGTACCCTCTTTAGATTACCCAGCTACATCCAGTGTTTGAACTAGTGCGCGCAGGCAGCAACGCGTCACGAGGAGCCGGTGTTTCGCCAGAAATGCAACAGCCTTCTAGTACGATCACCGCGCATACTGTCCAGTGTATAAAAGGAGTGCAGTCGCATTAAAGTCGTTTGAAAAAACACAGGAAGGTCGTGGTGAGTGCCGTTGCTCACAAGATCAATTATTTGTCGTTGTGGATCTTGACTTCTTCGGTGGATCTGGGCGTCATAACGGTTCCAAACAGTAGTTTATACGTGCCAACGAGCCAAATTCGCAGACCCATTGGAATATCGCCATTCTTGCAGCCCACAGGATATCCTATGCACCTCAACCAGTTGCTGCAAGACCTTCCGATCAAGAAAGACCCAATCCGTCGTCATCAACACGATCAGCACCGACCTCTGCCGACGTGACACGGACAAAGATCGTTTGTGTCAGAATGAAACTTCAAAATGTCACGGGAATGTAGCTCGATCCTCACGAATTCATCGAGCCGCGTTGTAATGGATTCGGATTCGGTGCATGTGTGTGTACGAGAGGGTGTGTGGAAGCATTGGGGGTGTTCCGTTGTGGGGTGTAAAGTGCGCGTGGAAGGGATGATGGCTATTAAGCACGGGTCGATGCACAAATTGCAATTAAGCCCGTTTACTCGCGATTTAGCATTCCCCAGCCTCAGAAATGCTCCAGGCGTCGAGCCATTCAAGATATGAGCTTTGTTTGCCGATGACGACTGCGGTATGACAAAGTTGCCATGATCTGTTCGACTGTGTTGTGCGAAGGAACATGTCAATAGTGTTGATGGTCAAGGGCGGGGCAGGTAAGTGTGACAAGGGGCGAGCTGGGCGAACAGAATCCACTCAAGTGGCATCAAACCAGTCAGTTCCAGTCCAACTATCCTGCTTCAAAAATCTTCTTCCTTTTTGCAAACCGAATCTAAAGCCCGCGTTGTTGCCATTGACATGGCGGCACCACTTGCTCTGAATGCGGTTCATTCCTCGATGGTGATCGATACGGTGATCTAGATGCAAGGACGTGGCCGATACTCGAAGACCACCCTCACACGATACTTCAAAAAACGCATTCGTGCCATCCATCACGCTGGGGTGATCGGGTCTACTCTACCGCGATAGCTCACCTCTGAAAATCGAGAGCAACTACCCTGTCAGATATCTAGAGCGAGCACCGGGATCATTGCAAGCAGTTCTGGCTCCATACAATCACAACGTTGCCGTCCTATTCGTTGCCATTGAACACGATGCAGACACGGGTTAAAACCATTGCAAGGGAGCTCGAACATGCCACAACTCCCAGCGTACATTGTGGTCACATTTGTTTAATATAAAGTGGCCGGATGGTGCCGTTGCGAGCCCACGACGCGCCGACCACCGCGCGAGGAGTGTCGAGGCGGCTTCATTTCTGCTGAGCCCTCTCTCGGTCATGGCGTGGCTGGCCGTGGTTGGTCGGGTCGGCCGAATGAACGGTGCCGAAAACGTTCGTTCTCACCGAAGTATTAAATTATCGAGGACTTAATTATAACACGCATCCATTCGGCGCGATTGCCGGTCGAACAGGTCCATGCATGCTGCGCAAAAATATTTTTTTCCACAGTATTTTGTGTATTTTACACCTCATTGCAGCAACGGCAGCGGGCCCTCTACCCCTTGACGGCGCCGAACAAGATGATGAGTGTTGGGCAGATGTGCAGCCAGGAGGCGGAGGTCGCGACCAGCAGCGACGTCGAAGTTCCACGAACGAAAAAGACGTCGTCCAAACGAGCACGGTCAAGGAAACGCCACAGTCCCGCTCCTGTCAGCGACGAACGAGAGTCGTCCGTGCAGGACGACGACGACGACGATGACGACGAGAGCACAAAAAGTGACAACGGAGGTGGCGGTGGTGGCAGCGATCACAATCGATGGTACTGCAACATATGCAAAGACGGCGGCGAACTCTTGTGTTGTGACCGATGCCCTCGAGCGTTCCACACGGCCTGTCTCTCGATGGACCCCGACGATATCCCTCGTCCCGACAGCAGTTGGTTTTGCAAGCTTTGCAGTGACACTTTGGAACGTCGCAACGCGAAGCGGGCTGCCAAGGACCAGAAACGACACCAGCGCGAAGAGGAGAAGCGCCTGCGCGACCTTGCGCGGGAAGCGAAACTTCGAGAACGAGACGAAGCCTTAGCACGCCGAAGTGCCAAGGCTTTGGAAGACAAGACGAAGAGGGTGTTGGAGATGAAGGAGCGCATTGTGAAGAAGCAAAAGGTCACCTACAAAGATCGAGAAGAAGAGAAGCTGGGCAAGATCGCAGAAAACTCGGCTGAAACCATTCGACAGGCCAAGGAAAAGCTTGAAAAACTAGAGAAAGAAGACGCCATCTTAAAGAAGAAGGAACAGGCGTTGGCAAAGAGCAGACGGCAGAACGAACAGGACGAAATCACCGACGTTGGCCCCATTCCTGAGTATGTCCTTTCAACCAACTTCGATTCCCATCCGGTCTTACATGCTTGTGTAGAGCTACCCCATGCAACTTCGGGGGAATTCCGTCCACAATGTTTCGCCAGGTCTTGTCGGCGTGGGATTTCGTTTTGTCGTTTCAAAAAGTGGTTGGCATATCCCCAATGTCGATCGAGCAACTGTGCGGCGCGATGATGTCGCCCAAGTTTTCTCCCCTCGTGAACGAACTCCACATGTGCTTGCTGGATTTAATCTTGGAGAACAGGTGCGTCGGCTTCTTCGATGGGATGCATTCATCAGGATTCTGTGACGATGGAAACGTTCTCGTCCAGGGAAGGGGACGCAGGTGTGTCGGAAGAAGACGCCGATATGGACCCGTCGGATCGGTACCGTTTTGAAGTCGTGAATGCGCCCCTGACCGTCGGCGTCCCGACCTCGAATATGCTCAATTTTCTGTCGTGGCCGGCGGTGCTGGCCAACTTAATCACGGCCGTTCCTCGGTACTTCAACAACGCGTCCCCGGTCATTAAGGCGGCCGTGGCTACGCTGGACAAGACCGAGTACCCACAGCTCTCGATTACGCACAAGCTGGCGCTGCTCGAATTCCTGATCACGTTGGCGTACAGCACGGACAAAATCGGGCGATTGATCAACCTTCACGTCCAAGAACGCACGGAAGCCTCCAAGGAACACAACCGACTCCTGTTTCAAGAAAAACGAGACAAAGCCGAGGAGAACAAGCGCGCGCTAGAGCAGCAAAAGGCCGATAAGGCCAAACTCGCGTCCGAGCAAAAGGTGGCCATGCAAAACTGGCTCAAAGGCGGCAAGAAAGGTGCGGCACCCTTTGTCGACGACGATTCGGTGGCCAACTCGCACACGGATGACGCATCATCTACCCAAAGCGAGCATGACGACGACGACAGCGAAAGCTCGTCGGATGAGGACGACGAAGAGCTCAAGGGTCTCCAGGCAAAGGGTATCATTTCTCGACAAGAGTACTTGGTGCGCAAGAAGAAGCTCGAGATCGAACGAGACGCGCGGCGAAAGGAGAAGGAAGAGCGAGCGAGGAAAAGCAAACAAAAGGAACAACTGCTCAAGAAACGCGCGTTACTTGTCGAAGAACTCAACTTGGCAATGGAGATGCGCGATCTCGACCGCCTTCAACTGAGCTTGAAAGCCGCCAAGGAGAATGGCATGCACACAACCAAGAAACCCAAGGTTGCAACAGGTGTGTATGTGGCAGCAACTCCAGCCGACGTCAAGTTGTACGAAGACGCGATCGAGTTTGCTGAAAGGTTGGAGGCCGACGTCGCCAAGGAGCAAGAGATGGAAGAGCGCAAACAATCATTTGAAAAGGCTATGCGCGAGTACTTTATCCGAACGCAAGCATTGGGCAAAGATGGCGCGTCGAGCAAGTACTGGCTCTTCCGCGGCGATGCGAAGCGGGTTTATGTCGAGCACTCCGACGGCAAGTGGCTGTACTACGACTCGCCGACGAGTGTTCAAGGACTCTTGGAAGCACTACACGATAACAACCCTCTCAAGAAAGAACTCTTGCCGCATGTTGACTTCCTCGTCAAGGAAATGGCCCAGTCGAGCTCAGCGACCAACGACGAATGGCAAAACAAGGCCAAGTCGTGGGGTATCTCGTACCACGACTTGACGCTAGATGAAGTGAAGAAGGAGTTGCTGCGTGTGCAAGAGACTGTCACCGCTCGCTTGCTCACTACCCGAGGCACGATGTGGGTCCACATTCAACAAGCAGAGTGGATCGACAACGTTCAAACAGCAACTTCGATTCCAGGCCTCGTGTACGCGGTGCTGGCGTTAGAGCGCGAAGTGTCTGGCCAAGATGAGGTTCTCTTCAAGGTTGAAGACGATGACGACGAAGACGAAGACGAAACATTTGCACAAAACTCGTTATGGCCAAGCAAACAGTCTCGCGACCGGTGGATATCCGTCGTGACTGATTGCTTCACCCTGTCCAGCATCGCCTTGTCGCTTGCAGCACTCGTCCAGCGGTTGGATATATGGAGCGTCACTGGTGGCTCGAGTGCGATCAAGAAAGAAGCCAAGGTGAAGCGCGAATCGAAGCGCATCGACTATGACGACGACGCGGACGGATCGGAAGCGTCGCCAGTCAAGGCAAAACGACAGTCAGCGGTACAAACTGTCGAACGAGAGTGGGAAGAATACTGTTGCATCTGCAAAGATGGCGGCGACCTGTTGTGTTGGTACCTATTTATCATCACTTGTGCGGCCACGATTGATTGTTTCTACGTAGTGATGGTTGCCCCAAAGTATTTCACTTCACGTGTGTGGGGCTGCGCCGCATTCCGCGAGGCAAGACATTCTGTCCTTCGTGCGATCGGAGTGTCAAGCCTGTGTACCCTGTTGTAATGCCCCAACTCAAAGGCGACGCCAGCTATGTCCCGATAAAGTCTGAAGAGGAGTGGGATGCCTTTTGCAACGTTTGCAAGAACGGAGGTGAACTCTTGTTGTGCGACGGGTGTCCACGGGCATTCCACGTCGAGTGTCTCAAGTTGGAGGTTCGTCCCACATGCTCGCTCTTTATCAAGTCCTGAATTGTGCGCTGTAGAACTTTGATGCAAATGAGGACTGGTTCTGCGTGGACTGTGAAAACCAGTCGTGCGGACAGTGCAAGAAAGGCCGCATTCGCATGGATTCGCACGTCATTTGCGGCAACGAAGCTGGCACGAAAGGATGCGAGCGGGTGTTCCATTTGGTATGGACACATGCGCTCGAGAACGACCGGATGAACTCACGTGATGATCTTGTTTAGAAGTGCGCCAAGCTCGATAAAGTTCCGGTCGACGATTGGTACTGCAAGCGGTGCCTCAAACTCACCAAGTAGTCCCCCAGCTAGAGCATTGTCCCCTAGGTCGTATCCTGTATAATGCTACCGTCGGTCGATCCTGTTGAACACTTGTTGCCACTGCCTCGCGACTTTGGACCATAAGAATTCCCGTTGGGCATGGACTTGCATGTCGCGCCGATGTTGCGACGTGTCCAACGTGACGGCGGCGACGACAGCGTCGACCCACTTGAGTCTCCATGCTTCCGCTACATCCTCCGGGTGAAAATCACAGGTATTACTAGGTCGTTGGGAGGAGTGGCGTACTCATGGCCCCTTCCAATGCTTCTTGTGGACCCAAATCGAACGACGCGACTACTTCGTGGAGAGCCCCGCGCTTGGAAGTAATGGGAATGGCGCCATTCGCCATGGCTTTCATGATCGACACACAGCTCGTTTCAAAATACGTGGTGGGGTACAAGTAAAATCCAGCCGACGCATATCTACCGTCACATGAGGCACAAGCACTGTCCAAGTTGAGTGGCGCACCCCTTGGCAAGCGTGTCGTGGTCCACAAGACCGTAGTACGTGATGCCGTCTTGTTGCAAGAGAATGTCCATGCGCTGTCGCCACGCATCAGAAGGTTGGGCAAAGCGGACAAACGCTTGGGTGAACCCGTAATACACCTGGAAGCGACCGTGAGTCGCCGAGATGACCAGGACGTGATGAGTACATGGAGCGTGGCGTTCGGAATGCGACGGCGGATATCGCCCCAAGACTCGAGAACAGTCTCCAAACCCCGATTTGGAGAGCTGCCGTACACAAAATGGGTCGGGGAGTTGGCACCGTGGCTCGCAAACGCAGACGGGACGAGTCCGTTGCCAGTGGATATGATTTTGACCATGGCGTGTGGTGCAAAGCCTGCGGCATGGGCTTGCGAAAGGCAGAAGATGCCGTCGATCGTATCCACATATGATGGAGTAAATGAAGCCTCGTTAACCATGTCGTGGAGCCAGACGAAGACAGCGCTTGCGCGGGATGCCAACGCTGTCGAAATATGGTACCGCCATGCAATGAAGACATCTACCCAGCCTTTCAACAGAAGTGCAATTTGAGAAATGAACGTACCTGAAGGCTCGTCAGGATCGAACCACGTGTGGGGAAACCAGTGCACGCCGTACGAATCCGTCATAGCTTCAGGAGGATTCCCAAAGATTTCAACTCGATATCCCACCGCCACGAGTTCCCTGGACATGTAAATTACTGCTTCCTCGGAGCCTCCGACCCCAGTCTCTGTCGAATAGGGGCCCCATTCGCCCCACCATCCCTGGCCATATTCATAGCAGTATATGACAAGCCGAGGGCGATGGCCATCCTCTCCATGAAACTTCAACAAGTTTGCGTGGACCTGTTGGGCCTCATGTTCCAGTCGCACCGTCTTCATCGAGACATAGTTGGCTTGGTCGTGCTGCCCCAAGCGGCTCAAAATCGCAGCGCTGTTGTAGCGCGCTCGAACAAGGATGTCCACGGGTGGGGTCATGGCGTCGATCGCTGCCAAGCAATCCATGGCCTTTTGAAGCTCGCCTTGGCCAACTAGAGCATACGCGACTTCGAACTGCAGATCCCATTGCGACGCAGCCGGCAACGCTCCCGCCAATTTCTACGCCCATTCCGTCTCACGAACGCCATTCCACACGACTTGGCCGCGTACCTCCCCGAACTCGCCAAACACTTGCACAAGGACATTCTGTTGCTTGGTCGCTTGAAGCAGCGTCATGTAGTTGAGGAACACCTGCGGTTGATTCGGGTCCAGCGCCAGCGCCGTCGCAAACTGTGCCAATCAAGCACATGTCACGCGATCAATCCAGAAAACGCACGAGGAAATGTTTGGATCGAGGACAAAACTTCAAAAGATGTACCTCGTGTGCAGCGCTGGCGTAGTCGTGGAGAGCGTGGTAGACTTGTCCGAGATTGCCGTGGAAAAAGCCCACATTTTTCGCCACTTGCAACGATGCCAACATGTAATCCAACGCGTCACCGTAGTTGTGCTGCTGGTAACGCGCCAGTCCAAACAAGTGGAGTGCATCCGGGTGGCTTGGTTCCACCGCTAGGATGCGCGCGTACCCGAGAGTGGCCGCTTCAAAGTCCCCGTTTTCATGAAGTGCCAGCGTTCTCTGAACCATGTCCTGCAATGTTGGCCGTTGCAACGCGTTGTAATCGCGCGGGTCCACGATAATATGCAGTCGGCCGCTGCCCAAGCTCGCCATGCACGCGTACGCGTGCTCCAAGTGAAACGTCGTGCGGCGGCTATCAAACAGCGGCGAGACAGCAGCGCGTTGGGCCAGCGTGAATCGGAAAGAGTTGAGTGTGGCGCGGTCTGTCGTCGCGAGGCGCACAGCCAAGTCTTCGTATTCCTTGATCGAATGAGTCGTCCACAGCGTCGATCCCAACGCGGTGTCCATTAAACTACCGGCGACGCGGCTGGCAAAGGTCGATCCCCACAACGTCACGATTGGCAAATGCGCCCAGATCATGTCGCTGGCCGTTGTGTGCGCCGTGTAGATGATGGAATCCAAGAACAAATGTGCGTTGCGCAGGCGAGTGAGGTGTTGGTCGTGCGGGAGCCTCGACGCAAAGATCAATCGGTCCGGATTGACACCGCGCGCCGCGGCCTCCGTCCGGAAGGTACGGACAACGCCAGCATCCACACGCGACGGCTCTAACAGCCACAGAACGCCATGGGGCACGCGCCGCAGAATGGCCATCCAGACGCCGAAAGCCACAGGCTCCATTTTGTTGATCGTGTTGAAGTTGCAAAACACAAACAACCAACGGTCGCCAAACGTGTGCTTCGCGACCGTGTCTACGCTCCACTCGTACATGTTGACTTGGTACGTGTGCGGGAGGTACACGAGCTTCTCTGTAAACGTGGAGGCGGCGACCATCGGTGGCACGACAAATCGGTCGACGATTGCATAGTCCGTGAAGGAAGAGCCCATGGTTCCGGGGTAGCCTAAATAATTGACGAGAATTGGCGCGGGTTTGAGGCCAGAAATGCCTACGCGAGCGCCACGTGTGTGCGCCATGAGATCGACGGCAATGTGGATTCCATCGGCATGGATCTGCGCGGCAATATCAACGTCCGACGCTTCAAACAAGTCTCGGAAGACGTCACATGCCGCTTCGCTGCGGTTGCGCCAGGTCGAGAGGTCGTTCGGGCCATACGCATACGCGTGCAAGTGGATGCGCGAGTGGTTGTGGTGCTCAAGGGCTCCGATTGTAAGCTGACCCATTGGGTGGTTCCGAAAGTCGTAGCCGAAGTATCCGATGTTCAACTTGGTCAGTGGAGCGGCTGACGCTGCGGACGCTTTCAAGGGAAAATACGGGCTGGACTGTTCCCATTGCAGGGAGTTGGACACCGCAATGTCCCTCTTCATCTCGTCGGAAATGGCCATTAATGTGGCATCATAAGGAAGCAGCGCTGGAAGATTCGCAAGCCGTTTGTCCAGCGTTGACGCCTTGAAGGACAAGTAATTAGAATGGACGCGCATAATTCGTCAAGCTCAGTACATGCAACGAAGCGCTCGTGAGCTCCAGCAAGCGACCGTGCCAGTCGTCAGCGTCGTCCCACAAGCACAACTGCCGCCTCGCAGTGATAACGTTGAGAAGCGTGTTGCCGTCGGTGGGTTGGAGATGCAGGGCTTGCGTGTGCGACACCAGCGCGTCTTTGACATAACCGATCTCTTTGAGAAACTGACCTTGATTGTTCAGAGCCCCGACTACCTCTCGGATTGTTGTGCCGAGCTGCACGAGGAGGTGCTGATGGTACAGTGCTTTGTCCAGGTGGCCCCTACATTCGCGTTATATCACGTTCATGCAGTGGAATCAAACGCACTGATGAAAGTAAATGTTGCCCATGTCCAAATGTGCGCTTCCATGAGATGGATCAAGGGTCAAGACGTGCCGGAGAAGTTGCTGCGCTTGGTCGAGCTGCCCGATGCCATACAGAGCCGACCCTTTGTTGTACAGGGCCGAAACGTACACTCCGACAGTGCAATTGGGCGGGGTCACCTGCAGGGCCAAGTCGAAGTGATGCACTGCCAGCAAAGTCTTTTCGTAGCTCTTCGCGTGACCAAGCCGAACCAAGTACCCTAGGTTGTTGTGTGCCGAGGCAAACGTTTCCCAGTCCCCTTCTTCAAGAGACACCTCTGCCGCAATTTCGTGCGACCTCTTCGCTTCGTCATTGTTACCACGTTTATGCAAGAGAATGCCCATGTTGTTGTACGACGGACCAAATTTCGCATAGGCTTGAATGGATTGCTGGTAGTGTGCAATGGCATCGTCAATCCTGCCTTCATCAGTGGCTTTCTGACCGAGTGTGTACTCCTCCAAGGCGGCAATCACTTGGAAGTGATTGACAGCTGTCGAAGGGTACGTGTACCCGACTGCTTCGATGTTCAACCAAGTGAAGAGGATCAGCAGAACGATTGCCAACGTGCACGGCGTCAGACTACATGCGGCCATAGCGACCCGCCACCGCCGTTACGTGTGAAAGATATCAAAAACCGGATAATTTGTAGCGTTCGGATAAAATGCAACATGCAGTAGCCAATCAAAACGCAACAGATCGAGAAAATAAACAACGCGTTTCTCGACGCGAACGACGGGGAAGACCGACTTGTGGTGATCGTGCCCACGGAATGGTGGCCCTACGAGTCTTGACTTAGCATCAGAATGCAGCGTGGAAGGTCAGTTGGGGTGTGTAGGCTGTACGATGGAAGAAGCGTTCTTTTGTGCACGAATCGACGACGAGAACTGGCTAGCCGTTTGGGCAACTACCTCTTCAGGAGCCACATCGAATGCGAAACATTCTACTTCGATGATCAGATAAAGCTACCGTGGATACACCTTCACTAGGCCGTATCACGTCGCGCCACCCTTCTTCACTGCGTGCAGCGAAGTGATTGCCTTGCGCGACGGGGCAGTTGAGACACGCACACTCATCCTGTCGACGACCGAGACTCATGAGGCCGAGCAACCAAAACCCTCGAGAACATCTGGTCAGAAGCGACGGGTGGCTTGACGTGGACATGCGTCAGTGGATCTTTAGACAAGTATTCCCATTGCACTGAGAGTGAAGGGCATGACTGTTGCCAAGGCAACGGCAACGTCTGGACGATTCGCCTTGGAACTTTGAAGATGCTGACAGGAACAAATGATTGCGACGACAGGAAGAACGTGGAGACAGTAAATATGGTGTTTATAAGTGAATTGTTAAATACAGCACAGAACGCAGCACATGCAGGTGGAAGGACACTTCGCGCTGTCAACGGGTTTCAAACGTCGCCGACTGGAACGTCGTAGTCGCCAACATGTTGTCGATAATCTCCCAATCGTCTTGAATCAAAACCCATTCGTGCGCCGATCGCCGGTGCTCGCCATAATGTTGCAGCATATCGTCCAACGACACTTCGACCCCCATGTCGTTGATCACGTCCACCCGTGATCGAATGACATCGACGGCCGCGCCGAGGTCAAATTCAGTCTCCACGAGCACTTCTTCCAGGATATCTCGGTCCATCGCGGGAAACGACATTTCTAACAACGCCAGGTTCTCTTCCTTCCAAAACAAAAACTCCGCCGCGACATCGTATCCCATGTTGGACAGTTCACACTCCAATGCAGTTCCAGAGTGCAGGGCATGCACGGACAACGGACTCGTCTTGGACATCATGTTCACGCACTCCTTGGGGATTACAATATGCGGACGTGGTGGTTGAATCGTCGTGGATGTTGCATTTTGCTCGGAACTTGAGATCGCAGCAGCGCGGGGGGACGAAACTTCCTTCCACTGGGGTTGTTGGCACTGGAAAGCTTGCATTGGGATGTACTTAAATGATCCAGATGACGACGGGCGCTGAAAGATCCACCGCGAGGAAGCGGTGCTGCGTCGGTCTTCTCCGTCGGTCGAACAATTCCGAATGAGCACTCCAACTCGTTTGTGAAATCGATCCAATTTCAAGTACACAAAAAACCGTGGGTCATACAAACGCTAAGTCTTTTTATCCGTCGGAAAAAGCCACCGCCGGAAAAACCATCCGGATAATTCGGTGCACTCCAAATGATCTTGCGTTACGTATTTCATACAATCTTGCTATCACTTATTGCTTAAGTAGTGCATATACCTTGAAGTACTCTGAAACCTCGGTGAAAAAGTGTGATTTGATTGGTGAAATATTCGAAAGTATGGGAATTATTTCTCCAATCAAAACACTTCAATTTAAGCCATCAACTTTGTCCCGCCAAAATCAAAATTGACCGGGTGTTACGCATCGAATGTGAAACATCCTGGCGACCACAAGTCGCCCTGATGGTCTCGTCATGAGAACACGCAAGGACGTTCGTGGCGGAGAACCGAGGTAGACGCACATGCAGGAACTGACGATGGCTCTAACACATAGGAGCTTCATTCACGCACATGGACATGGAAGAAGTGGAATTCGCAACGCAAGCACCAACGACGAGTATCTTGCTAAGTACTGCACTCATGAGGTTGCCCATGTGCATGTTCAGACGCAGTGGGCGAAGACGGTATCGTGGTGTTGGGTGAATAGAAGCAGCGCTCCCTCGGTGCCGTCCATGATACATTTCGTAGCTGGTATTGAACGCTGGTCATACACGCTATCTATTTCCTTTGGACGAGCGCGGCGTTTATCGCGTCCGCCCATTTCTTCGACCCGTTGACTTGGTCCGTCAGGTGGTACACTCGATTGGGCTACACTCGTCGACCGTAAAGGCTACGGGCACAGGCGAAGAGACAACGTACCGTGACAACGTCAAATTGTTGGCTGTTCTTAACCGTGATGTACAAGTTGTCCGACCACGGGATCTCTCCTGCATCCACAGCATATTCCTGTCAGAGACCTCCTCGCCGTATGAATGCGGAACCCCACCTTTTTGCCGCATGCGGATCGCGTCTATGTAGATCAAGCGCGGCTTCGACGTCAGGATGAACTGCAGCAGGTCGGTGAATGATCAGCAGAGAGCAATGAAATGTACTTGACGCGTCTTGGAGAACAGGCCCTTGCGTTTGCTCACAAGGCCACTCATGCGAATAACTTCGTCATCAAGCAAAAAGCGATTCCTACAAAACACATCAGCAATATGTCCGGCCCTGGCGTTCGTACCACAGCGAGTTCATGCGGGACGGAGGGGGCACGGACGCCTTGACGCGCGCCACTTCCACAGGGTTTGGGTGGGCCTGTTCCATGACATATGTCGTCGTTGTTGCCGCCGTTGTTTCCCTGAGCCATGTCATGGATGGGTGATGCTGGTTTGTTTAAACAAGACGATGCAGAGTCGGTCATACATTTGGACTATGGGTTCGGCCATCAGCCCTGACGAAATATTGAGTTCCGTGGCGACACCCGCGAACAACCAGTCCTCAGTAGCGCCGTCCTGTTGCTTGATGAGGTTCCCCACCCCACCGGCAACATACGTACACTGTCCGTGGGCGGAAGTTGCGAAATCTGAGGAATGTACGGAGACTTGGACCGTCCCAACTGCGCCCAGTTGATGCCGGTGAAGAAAGGATGGCTCTGTAGACAGATTTCCCTTCAGACACTGTGATCGATCGAGGCATGGCATACCTTGAGAGCATCGTAGCCATTGCCATCGGCGTTGGAGCCCGCACCCAACCGTTGATTAGGGTCTTGCAAGAGCAAGCGCGAGCACAGGTCCTGCGCCACCTCTGGGAATCCTTCAGGGTACGCAAAGTCTTCGGCAGGGTGGTTTAAAATCTTCCATGTCATGATGAGCGGGGGTGGTGCGAACAATGCGGAGTACCTGTTGGAAGGTCAAGTATTCGTTCTCGGCACGGAAAATTGGTCGGCCGACAAGCATCTGGTAGATCATGCACCCGACAGCCCACAAATCGCAGCCGCGGGACGCCTCGTGGTCGCGTAGCACTTCAGGGGACACAAACTCTGCTGTGCCGCAAAATGTATTCTGGCGCGCACCTTCTTCGGTTTCGTCCTGCAGATGGAACGAGCAGTCAAGGAATTTTCTTGTCGTGGAGATCGTGGAAGTTCATTACCTTGGCCGTGCCGAAATCCGTGATCTTTATATGGCCCACCTCGTTCAGGAGAATGTTTTCGGGTTTGATGTCCCGATGGATGATGCCCTGGAGAATGTAAGATAAAAGATGAAGAAGTTGGTGCGGTACCATTTCGTGGAGGTACTCCAACGCCTCCACAACTTCCGCAATGAAGAATTGTGTCACATCGAACGAGCACGCTTTGTTCTGCACGCCGCGCGCGGTTTGCTCTTTTTGCGATTTTCTACATCAATAAGCGAGATAAAACATTTGCTCACTAGCAGCAACGACGAAGGGTCGTGACATACACAATCACGTCAAGCAACTCGCCGCCGCGACACAGTTCCATGACCATGTACAAGTAATTGAGATCTTGGAACGAGAATGACAACTTGACAATGCGGTCGTGGCATACTTTCGAGAAAACTTTGCGCTCCATCATGACGAATTTGACTTTCTTTTCCTTGCTGATAAACCGCTTCTCCATGATCTTCACCGCGAATTCCTCATTTGTAGCCTTCAGGCGGGCATGAACCACCTACGAAACACCGTACGTAAGAGGATTTACCTGAGGTACAAAGTCCGGGCACATGGCGCAGGCATACCCGCGCATATGCCCCTTCCCCCAGCGTTGTCCCGAACCAGAAGTCGGCCGGCGACTGCGTCTTCAGCCTTTCCGTCATCGGTTTGGGAGGTTTGAGGGGTCCAAGGTATTCAGTATTGTTGCAAGCACTTGAAGTTTGTATGCATCTCTTCGAGCATACAAAAATTGGGATATTGTCATTCGAGTGTGCCAAAGTACAGTAGAATATCGGATTGGCTTAAATATTTGAAGCACATCCAATCAAATGTTCCAAAAAGTCTCTTAATTCTGTATTTTTAACCAACAAAACCAATTCAATTCAGTCGAGCGTATCTGCGTACTTATTTGGAAACAAGAAAAGCATGCACAGGCGTAGTTTTGTCAACACACGCAACTTCTTTACGAATACAAATGAGAGACATCCAGCCGTCGCCCGGATCCGAGAATCAGGACTCTCGGGATGACCTCAAAGTTTGAGGGCCACTGAACCATATTCATACCCGTGCATTCAATGCTAACAGGTCATGCTTTCATCACCATTGACAATTTTGAAGTGGTGAAACACACATCTCGGTGCAAGGCAGGGCAATATGAATAACGAACTTCAAATGTCCACCCGAAGTGCCCGAGGCAAGTCTGGTTGCTTTTGTCCCACCAGCGGATGGGTAAACCAGGGTCTCCAGCGACAATTTTGCATCCACATCGCACAGGCAGACAGGCCCGGGCCGCCGCCAATTGCTATCCCGTCGCAGGCTCGAACGAGCGTGTCTTTGCCGTGTTCAGTTCGTTTCATGTGATCACCAACGCACCATCCAATTGTATCCATTTTGCAGTGGATGTCTTGCTTTTGATTGGTGGATGAGTTTGCCCATGTACTGATTCAAGCAAATATCCCTTGAGATGTTGCGACGACGGCGCAAGTCGCCCACGATCTTCCAGGAGGTGTGGGTTAAATTGCCCTAACGAGTGTTTCCCTTAAAGATATCGACGGAAACACCAGATCATGGCACTGTGCGATCCGATGCCGAATTCGACGTTGCGCGATCGCGACGAGCCTGTCCGACCCCTCGCCTGGGCGCTCGTCGTCGTTGTCTTCCTCTCGGACATCCTGTATGCTGGACTCATCTTCGGTTGGGCTCCGCTCCTCCTTCTCCTCCATGAAGAAGATCAGTACGGCGAACTCTGCCAAGGTGCGACTAGCGCCACACGTTGCAGCGCACAAGATAGCCGACTCAACATGGTGTACGCGATTGCATCCGTCGCCACCAACATCAGCTCGCTGCCCGTCGGGTGCATGCTTGATTATTTTGGCCCCAAGTGCTCCATTGCAGTTGCTGCTGTGTTTGAGATCTCGGGACTGTTTCTTCTCGGCGCTGCAGACTCCAAGACGTTTGACGTTTTCCTGATTGCGTACACATTCTTAGCAATTGGCGGATGCATCACGATGATGGCATCGTACCCGGCAAGCTTCCTCGTTCTGTCTAGACAAACGGCGATTCTTGCGGCCATTTCGTGCCTGTTTGACTCAAGCAGTGTGGTCCTTCTCGCCATGTACACGATCCACTCTTCATTTGGATTCACGCGGCATCAAATCTTCTTTTTCTACGGGTGTGCGTCCATTTGGATGTATGCGCTACTCCTTGGGTTGTGGCAAGTGAACGAGCGCTACCTGCCCGATCAGTCGGAGGCCGAGACAACGGCTGCTGCGACTTTGGCCCAGACGAAAGACATTACGTTCACATCGCCGCTGTTGCAACCCATCGCACGACGCCATAGCATGCGGGATTCCATTGAAAAGTACGGCACCCTATCGGAAGACGAGCTCATCGAGGGAAAGCCTCTGTCCGACGTCATTCAGGTATGGCCGTTTCGGCAATCTCATGTAAATGCTCATCGCCTCTCCAGCTACACAAGGCGGCCACGGTCGGCCAGACACTGTTGTCGGACTTTCCACTCACGAAACAAATCCAAACGTTTGAGTTTGGGTTTCTTTTGGCGTACTCGAGCGTGCACGTGCTGCGAGCGAATTTGTACATTGGCACGAACAACAAGCTCCTCGAGGTAATTCCTGCTTGCCATCGTACCTGACGATGCATCTTTGCAGGACTACGGCGATGCCGCCACGAACCACTTTTACACGAAACTCTTTAGCTTCACTCTTCCCCTCGGATTTCTCTTTGTGCCGTTCATCGACTACTTTGTCGAAAAGAAGGGGCTCGCCACTTCATTGCACATCGCGACCGGCCTTGGCGTCGTATACAACACCCTGGCCATGCTCCCAATTCTTCCTCTCCAAGCGGTTGTCTTCTTCACCTTTACGGGCTTTCGAGCGTTCTTGTACGCAGCGATCTCGGCATTTGCCGCCAAGATCTTTGGCCTTGCAAACCTTGGCAGGGTCGTGGGCATCACCTTCACTTGTGGCTCGATCGTGAGCTTGCTCCAAATCCCCGCGGTTGCGTATGCGAATGAAGTGGGCAATCATGCCCTCGTGTACGGCCTCTCGACAGCTCTCTGCGTCGCTCTCGTCCCACTCACAGAATGCTACCGGTACCGCGCAGCGCAGCGGATGAAGCGTCAGGCTATAGTTTGGAAAGCGCTAGGAGAAGACGAGACTATGATGCTGTCCCCAGTCAAGGGGCTGCAGTACCGCCGATCGCCGTGCTTACCTTCGCCGGTGGCACGGCAACGTGCTTTGTCCAAGCACGACAGTCTGCCATGACGAGCCGTAAAGGCATCGAGAGATGTGTAGAAGTATGCGAGATAACATTCGACTCGTGTTTTGATGGTTAGAAATAACTTAAAGATCGCTCGTGCGATGCGATACGTAGTCCTCATGATGGCGAGATGACGTTCGCACAGGTCGGTGATCGTCGCAGCTAGTGCGACCAAACGCGCCGGTCGAATGCGACGGGGGTTCCGTAGCGCTCCGCGTCAAGATCACCTGCGCTCCATTGAGCGTGTTCAACATGGGCAACGTCGCAGAATGCTCGATACTGCGTCGGCTTACAATCAATTCGCTGCCCAGCGTGGCTTGAACGTTCTCAAACTTGCGCATGATGCGCGACTTGGTGGGCTTGACATTGGAGCTGGCGGCATAGATTGGGTCGTCGTCGTCGACGAGGGAGTCCATTGAGACCTGGGAGCAGTATCTGAGCTTGAGGGTTTCTCGGATGTGCTCTTGGTTGCATGACAGGGATGCCAGCGCAGCCGTCGACGCTGCCGTCGACCCCATAATTGTACCACACGCGAAAGTGGAACTGAAAATCTCTCCCGCTTGAATGCCTTACATCTTGGGATTTGTATGCGTGATGTTGTAACGGCCCCACACCAGTCTATCCCACACAGAACGCGGACGCATTTAGCCAAGTGGTTCCATGGCTGCGCTCTCTATTCCCCCGGGCCATCGAATATCCTGCGCATCATGTACGCGCGATGAAGGACGCGAATCCTGGCGGCTGCGTGAACTGACTGGCTCGTGTCTTGTGTCATCCATTGATATTGGTACATGCATTCACGCAACGGAATGAATGTGGTCTGAAAGAACGCAAAGAGGATTGCTTTCGTGAGGCGATGCACTTGCGCAGCCGCGGCGTGCTGCGGCAGACGCAGCATGTCGTGACGCCTTTTGCTCAAAGAAAGAGGGCTGCATCTGGGAAAAACCGAAATATCAAGGCAAAGACGAAGGTGGAAGTCAAGACGGAAGTCGCACCGCCGTCTCAACCCACACACGCGACGTCCGTGGTCAAAGAAGAGCCGCAGAACTCTGTGAAGGTTGAATACGCCGAGGAGCGAAACTTAAAGCAGGAGGAAACCAATGCATTAGGCTTGGACAATACCGAGCAAGTCCGTAGAGGTTCCAATGACGACTTGGACGCCCGCAAGTTGGTAAAGAAACCCAAACTCGGCAAGACGAAAGCCCCGAACAATTGGAAAGCCATCTGGGATGGCATCGTCGGCATGCGTGCCGACAAGTCTGCTGCTGTCGACGCACAAGGTTGCGAAGTATGTGAATGCAATGCAGTTGTTTCGAAGGTCCAACTCCTCGTGTCATGCCTTAGACGTTCAACGACCCGACATTGGACCCTCCAGTGCGGCGTTTTCACGTTCTTGTTGCGTGCATGCTGAGCAGTCAAACGAAGGACCCCGTGACCGCTGCAGCCATGGACCGCCTTCGACTGCATGGTATCCTCCTGCCATACTCGATTAAATCCCTTCCACGTCGTCACCCAACGCACTTCCAAGGTTTGACAATTGCTTCGATGCTGGCCATCAAGCAATCGGATCTTGCGGCATTGCTTCGTCCCGTGGGCTTCTTCAACAACAAGGCCAAGTACATCCAGCAGACATGTACGATGCGCTACCGTCGTCGCCGACCTTGACACATGCGCGACTCATGTGAAGGCACCATTCTCCAGACGAAATATGGATCGGACATTCCGTCAACGTACGATGAGCTCGTGGCGCTGCCTGGTGTCGGTCCCAAGATGGCACACTTGACCATGTCTTGTGCCTGGAGCAAGTACTACTCCTTTGTCTCGACCGTCCTTTCTCTCATGATCCGATGGCAGCACGGTCGGCATTTGCGTCGACATCCACGTACACCGCATCTCGAATCGCCTTGGGTGGGCGAAAACGTGGGCCAAAGCGGGGAAAAGCCAGGACCCTGAAAAAACCCGCAAGGTAATCGCACGACCGCCCAACGAAACGACAACGATTCGCTTAGGAACTGGAAAGCTGGCTCCCGAAACAGCACTGGAACGACATCAACGCCCTCTTGGTCGGGTTTGGCCAGCAGGTGTGCACCCCCCTTCGACCAAATTGCGACTCATGCACGGTAAATCACCTGTGCCCGGCTGCGTTCAAGAAAGTTTCTCCGTAACGTTGCCATCAACTCAGTTAGCGCCGTTCATCGATCTACTATGCCATCGTTGGTTGACAACGCGTGCCATTTTCACTTGATATTGTCTCTAAATGCACACGGCAGCGATGATGGCCGCTGCTGCGAGAGTCGCCCCCGACTGATTCCGCGCCGTCGCGACGGTTTCTTGAAGCTGCATCAATTCCTGCGCGTCGTCGCTTAGGGCAAAATGAAGCACACAGGGCTTGACAGCGTCGCGCAACGCGATCGAGATCTGGTCGAGCGACTGGTACCGCGTTTGGTGGCCATTCACCGACTTGAGCTCGTACGCGTGGGTGAGGCCGGCGCGGCCCAGCACGCCACGGGGGTCCACTGATTTGACAAGTGGTGCGGCGGGAGGCGGGACGAACTGCAGTAATTGGCTTCGACCGCTGTCGTGACCGATCTTGAGTTCCCTCATCGTCGCGTCAAAGTTGTGTTCCATCACACGGTGGCCATTCGCCGACGAGAGGATGTAGCCAGGAACAATGTCGTGGCGACTGGTGCGCTTTACGACGACCTGCCGCGTGACCTGTTCGATGCCAAATGTGACCCCGACACTCGCCATGTTTTCTTTCCAGAGGACGTCCACGGATGGAAGTTTGGATGTCCTAATACGTTGCAGTTCCAGGCCGAGAGACTCCCCCATCCACGTGACGTCGATCGTAGTTTGGTTTTCGTCGCCCAGGAAGAACGTCGAGCAACTTGCTTGACGATGCATGTGATAGTCGTGCTCGTCGTGTGTTGAGGGTGGGTGCACGGGGTGGCTTTGGCTTATCGGAGCTTGCGGGCGCGGCGGCAGGTGCGACGCATGAGATGATGGTGCGAGGGGGTGCAATTCCCGCGGAGATGCGACGGGAGATCGCAGTGGGGAAGTTGGCGATGACTGGGATAGCTCGCTGTCTTGTGTACCGTCGATGGAGTGGCGAGAATCCATGTGGGGTCCGGACCGGGTGTGGTCACTCAATGGTGAATCCATCGCTTCCTCGTCCGAGTCACGGAACTCAAGTTCTTTGGGAGGCTCGTGCCTGCTGCTGCTGTCGTCATGAGATGGAGTGGTCGTCGACTTGTTCATCGAGTACTAGTCGATTTGTCGCAGAGGTATGACCACGGTCTCGCATGGCTGCCCTGATGAGGAATACTCGAAGTTCGAAGTTGGCAAGTTGGGCAGGGTCGGTCGAGAGCCCCCTTCCCGCTCGTACTGGTAGTCACAAGCACGCATCCACCCCGTTGTCACTCGTGCGCCGTCCACTTGTCTATCGAACGGACCGACGATCAAGTGCTTCGTTGTATCCCAAGAGGAACAGTCATTATGAAGTTTGTCCTGGTCGTGAAGTTATCTTTAGAATTTTGAGAGAATGTAGAATTTAGACAACGTGGACAATTTCGAATGCATTTTCGTCCAATAAACTCACGTATTTCTACCATACTCAAGTAGATTGCATAGACGTAATTTACTTGGGTATGGTAGAATATCCTTACAATTCGGACATGCGACATGCACACTCGGACACGTACTTAAAGAAATGCATACTTGAAAATTGTAAGGAGCCATGTTCCAATTATATTACCGAATCAGTGTCATAGGTACGGACATACCTTTGTTTTGTATGAGCCCTCATAAGAACGATTTGACTATCTACAGCGACACCCAAGCAGTTGAGCACACCAGGGCGAAGTGGAGGTTGTGTGAATAAATTCCTGCAGGCGGTGCCTTGGCGAGGAGCGAGCCCCAATTGTGCGTGTCACCGAACGTCCAACCTTTTCCTCTTGTCGGGAAAAGCGGCAGGTACAGTAGGCGTTAGGACGTGTCGCTAGCAGACGAGCTTAACAACAATGAATCGCACTTTCATGAATATTTCCGATATCGTTTCTTAAGTGCGTGTCCAAAGCGGTGTCCGAACCGTGATGGCTTGATTTCCGACTTCTATCCGGAATACTTCTGAAACGAGATTGGATGACCAAAATGAAAAATGCTTTTGATTGGATGTTGATAATTCAACACATTGGATTGGTCGATGGTATTGTTGTTTGCCAACATACCACGAACACAGAAAAAGCATGATCGGATTGGCCAATATTCAGTTCGATATCGACGAATCCCTGTGGACGCTTTTGATAAAGCATCTTTACAGTCAGCGAGAGCATCGAGGGGGCTTGTAGAGGTTTGTGGGCAAAGAATTGGTCGAATTTCACAAGGTTTGGTGCATTCTACTCGTCAAACCTTCTAAAATTCA